GATAAAGTCAGCCATGTGAGCACTGGGGGTGGTGCCAGTCTAGAGCTCCTGGAAGGTAAAGTCCTTCCTGGGGTGGATGCTCTCAGCAATGTTTAGTATTTTCCTGCCTTTTGGTTCCTGTGCACAACCCCTAAGTCAACTTAGTGTGTTTTCCGCATCTCCATTTGGTGTTAGTGCAAGATTCAGCTAGTGACCGAGATGCAGCACCAGGAACCCTTAAACAGTTGCACAGCATCGCAGCTCGTCCTTCCTTCATTGGGATTTGTCTACATTCTTCAAGATCCCATTTAAATTCCATAGTGACTAAAGCCATTGTGCATTCTAGAGTGCATCTATTTCTATTCTGCCTGTAGAAGAAAGTGAGCTATGAAAGCTTAGTCCTCTTCGAGTAGCCTCTGGTTGGCTTTGTCACTGTTCATGACTCAGCATGGAAATAAGATGAAATTCCAGCTGTAGATTTAGAGAAGTTGATGATCTATTAATAAAGATGTCCACCGGAAAAAAAATAAATGTTGGTTAAATTTATTAGTTCTCAAATTCTCTTATGTAAACTGTAGCAAGAATGGGCCTTCGTATAGAGGGTTTTCATTTGTTGAAGAGTTTGTTGTTGTTTGAGTTCCTTTTTGGTTAGAAGGTTAAAGGGTTGCTTGGTTGGTTAGAAGGTTAAGGGGTTGCTTGGTTGGTTGGCTGTAAGATGATGGGTTAATTGGTTGTTTCATTATAAGATCAGTTTGTTGGTTGATTGATGGGCTGGTGAGTCACTTGGTTGGTTGTTTGCTTAGAACATTGGCTTGTCAGCTGGTTGATGGGTTGGTGGGTTTGTTGGTTGATTGGTTGGATGGTTGGAGTATTGGTGTTTGGTGATGTAAAGCACTCAGTGTTAGTTTTCAAAAGGTATCTAGCCTGATTGGAACATCCAGGGTAATCCATCCATCCACTCACCTTCAAGCTAGGATATATCTTGTACTATGGAAGAGTGGGGGATAAACTTGGGCTCATTTGAACAGGAGAGAGGGTAATAAAAAGAAATAACAATAATGCAAAGAGAAAATCCCTGTGAAAAGCAAGAGGCAGTGGATAAAGTGCTTAGGCACATAGGCTCTGGCAACCATTGGAAGCTGAATATCTACACCAACACCATCTTCCTGGATGACCTTTACAAGACACCTAAGCCTCCTTAACCTAAGCCTTAAATTAAACAAAAATGCATGAAAAGTGTTTAGTAGTAACCTAGACTGATAAGTCAACACATGTCAGTTATTATGATTATTATCAAGAAAATCAAAGTCATAAACTGAATTAAAAATTGTGACTGGATATTTAGTGTGGGAGGTCCTTCTATCTATGTGTTGCTTATATTGGTTAATGAGTAAAAAAATTGTTTTGACCTGTTGATAGGGCAGAACTTAGGTAGGCAAGGAAAATTAAATGGCATGCTGGGAGAAAGGAAGCAGAGTTGAGAGAGATGCCATGGATCTGCCAGAGACAGACACTGAGAATTTTACCCAGTAAGCCACTGCCATGTGGCAATACACAGATTAATAGAAATGGGTTAAATTAAGATGTAAGTGTTAGCCAATAAGAAGTTAGAGCTAATGGGCTAAGTAGTTTCTATGTAGTTATTTTGGGGCTAAGCTAGCTGGTGGCCAGGATGAACTTCCTTGCAACAGGTGTTTTCCGAGCATAGCATGGGAAAAACTGCCCCTGAAGGAACTGGGTTTTAAAAAGAGTGTGGGTAAGCCCAGAGGATCAGAAAGGATGAAATATGTTTACAGAATTATAACTGATATAACTCAGGTTCGGTGGATAGACATGGTACAAACTAAAGGACTAAGCTGCACCTTGCTGGTTCTGTCTCCCATGATGGAAGATCCTTTTTGAAAGAGTTGGGGTGTGAAGATGTTAGAAAGCAAGGGGATGGTGGTAACTCCCATAGGGTGAGATCATTTCTGAATTAGCATGGATGCTGGCTTTGAGGTGAGTGAAGAGCCTGCCTAGCTAGAAAACAGGCAGGCAGAGGGACAAAAAGTGATGCTCCGCTCTCCGTCTCAGCCACCACTGTTAGAGACATTGTCTTCTCCATCCACAGAGGCTTGAGCCCGTGTCCCTCAAGTCTTCAAGAGGAAATCTCTATGCTTAAGAAAGGCCAAGAAAATGAGGATAACTAACCTAAAATAGTGTCTTATCTAACCCTTCCTCTCCACAATTCTCTTAATAACACTTTTCTTTTTTCTTGCTCTTATTAAACAAGTTTACTTTTCATTTTATATACCAACCCCAGGTCCCCCCTTCCTCTTCTCTTACCCCACATCTCCACTCTTCCCATCCCCCATCCACTCCTCAGAGGGGGTAAGGTTTTCCTTGGGTGGTCAACAAGGCTGGCATACCAACTTGAGGCAGGACCAAGGTCCTTCCCCAGTTTCAAGGCTAAACAAAGTATCCCACCATAGGAAATGGGCTCCAAAAAGCCAGGTAATGCACCTGGGATAGGTCCTGATGCCACTGCCATTTCCCCCACACACACCCTACCCGTAACAGATCAAGCTACATAACCATCACTTATATTCAGAGAGTCTACTTTGGTCCCATTCAGGTTCCCCAGCTGTCAGTCTGTAGTCTATAAGTTCCTACTAGCTTGGGTTAGCAGTCTCTGTGATTTTCTCATCATATTCTTGATCCACATTGTTCATTTGATCCCACCTCTCGCAGTTCATCTGAACTCCAAGAGCTCGGCCCAGTGCTTGGCTAACGACACCTTTCTTCGAGGCAAAGGGTAATGCTCCAAGTGGCTATTGTTTGACAGTGCTATAATTTGTCTACTTCCTGGTGTTGGTCTGCCTCCCACAAACACCATCTACCAATGGCACCACATCTTGGGGGGAGGGGAGTAGGTTTACAGAAGAGCATGACTGGATATTTGAGTCGTGTAGCTATGCCAAGAGAAAATAATGGCAGCATTCTGGAATGCAAATTCTATCCGATGTGTAAATATTAGACCAGAGGAACAAGAATTTCAAATTAACCCACTCAACATATGAAAGAAGATAGAAGATACTAGTAATCAGAGAGAAGAAAACAAAGCAAGCACTAAAAAGCCCAGCAAAAATATTGCAATTGAGAAACAGAATAATTTATATAATGATCAGAATAGCTGAGACAATTGGTTGAAGAATAAATTACTCAAAGAAAACCAGCCCACAAATCACAACCCCAGAGAGCCTAGACAACAATGAGGACCCTAAGAGAGACATACATAGATCTAATCTACATGGGAAGTAGAAAAAGACAAGATCTCCTGAGTAAATTGGGAACATGGGTACCTTAGGAGAGGATTGAAGGGGAGGAGAGAGGTAGAGGTAGGAAGGGGAGCAGAGAAAAATGTAGAGCTCAATAAAAATCAATTAAAAATTACTCAATGGAAAAGGAAAATCAAGGAAATTTTTCTAAAGGAAGAATTTATTAGTGAACCATTTAAGTAAAGGAAAAATAACAGAAAGCCAGGCATAGCAGGTCATGTCTGTCATCCTAGCACTTGGGAGGCGGAGGCATGAGCATCTCATAGTTAAGTCCAGTCTAGGCGACATGGTAAGTTCCAGGATAGCTTGGGATACATAGTGAGACCCTGTCTCAGCAGCAACAACCGTAACAACAAAAACTAAGTGAAATGAATGAGATACATATTAAAATAGATACACTAACATATCCAAGTAAAAGCTCCAGAAACATTGAATAAAAATAGGTTTTTAAAAATTGAGAAAACAATGAGAGATAAAGGTCCAGCCATTTAAAAGAGAATAAAAATTCAAATTGAAAGAACAAAAAAGTTATGACGATAGCTTAGTGGATACAAACACTTGAATGGATACAAGCACAAGAATGAGAACCCAAGTTCAATCCCCCTGGAACCCATTAAAAAATCCAGGTGTAGAGGAACAAGCTAGTAATTACAGCACTGGGGAGAGGAAGATTGGCATTACCCTGGTGGTCATTCTCCAGCCAGCCTAATTGAGTTCCAGGGCAAGAAAAAAAAAAAAAACCACCCAAGGAGATGGCATCTGAGCACCAACACTGCAAGGCTGTCTTATGGCCTCCACATGCACTGCACACACGTGAACACGAAGTGTTAGAAGAGCACAGAGAAAAGGCAAGGGAGGGTCATACCCGGACATTTTCTAGTGAAATGTGAGGTCTTTTTAATCCAGAAGAGAAAACAGAGCGGAACCAAGTTGAACTAGACAGAGATACAGATCTCTTAGATCCAGCCCCTAGTGTGACCTGAGCCCTTGAGCCCACGCAATAGCAAGATACAGCGTGGGAAGCTTGCTTTACCACACCTCCTATGGCTTTTCTCCCCAATCACAGTCAGCCAGGTAGGTTTCTTCATGGATTCTTAGACACATGGCTCCTCTTCCTCCATGATCACAAAAAGGCAAAAAATGCTACCGTTTCGTTCCCAAAAGTAAAAGGAGGATGTGGTTGCCACTGAATAATTACTTGTCAGATCAACTGATTTATACTTCCCTCTGAGTGTCTCACTGCTCAATGGCCAGCTGGTATAATCAGCTACAACCTAACATTGTACCTCACTGGATCCTGCCCTACTCACTCTCCA